TCTAAAACACGTGAAGAGGAAAGATAAATTTGCAGCTGTAAAGGTTAATAAAAAGTTTGTAAAACGAGCGAGATATCTGGAAAGTTTATACAGCAGCAGAGAAGTCTGGAAGAAAAAGCGAAAGAAATATGTCGGATGGTCCATTAATTTGACGAAGAATAGATTTTCGAGATTGCAGAGATTTTGCAAATTTATATATTCGAAAAATATCGCATTCTAATTATTATTAATAAAATGATTAGATAGATTTAGTAGGTAGATATTTACATTTTTTTTCAATTTCAGATACGTCGTTGGTGGACGAAATTTTAGGTTATGAAATATTTCAGAGATCAATTATTCTGTAATTTACCTCGAATGAAATTTGCATTGTAATATGGTAAAATTAAGTTTGAGAATGTTTTAGTATAAAATTACTCTATTAATGAATTTATTTTGGATCAAAAGCAAATTTCATAACTCTTCGTTACCAAAATTGCAGATACGCCATATTGGTCGTCGAAATGTTAGGTTATGAAACATATAAAAGAAGCTAAATTACTCTATAAATCGCCTAAAGTGAAATTTGCTTTGCATATTGGCAAAATTGAGTTTAGAAACGCTTCGGTGTCAAAGGGTTAAAGGGTCTTTTTTCTCATCAGCCGTCTTGTGAGCTCGCACCGTGTGTACAGAAATGGTCTGACATCCGGTATAAAATTGCCTTCTTGCATCGAGAATCTTGAAGTGGCACTGATGCGAAAATTGGTTGTGTCGACACGGCTTTATTTGATGGATCGAAGCTAGAGTAAGATACAAGCTGTTTCTAAGCTGTCGAGCGAAAGAAGCAAAATTTCGAACGCGTTCTTAATTAAAGAGCCTTTAACGGAAATTCAGGGTTTAATTTAATGGAAGATGCGAGTTTCCAAAATTATCTTTTTCATTTTAGTTCGAATAATTTTTAATAAAATAAAAGAGGAATTAATTTCGTTTGAGCCTTAACTATGCAGGAATTAAAATTGCAAATTTAAGTGCATGGTTAATGAAAGAATGTTTCGAATATGATCAGAAATTCTGGGAGGGAATTTAATTTCGAACTACAATTTTTTTATTGTGGACTTTTGCTGCAAAGTGAGATTAGGTTTATTTTAAATATTCATGCTACTGAGGATTCAAGGTACAAATTTTTTATTGTGGACTTTTATTGCAAAGTGAGGTTAGGTTTATTTTAAATATTCATGCTACTGCGGATTCAAGGTACAAATTTTTTATTGCAGACTTTTACTGCAGAGTGAGGTTAGGTTTATTTTAAATATTCATGCTACTGTGGATTCAAGGTACTAATTTTTAATTGTGGACTTTTACTGCAAAGAGAGGTTAGGTTTATTTTAAATATTCATCTTTAAGTTTATTATGAATTTGATGAATTTTATGAATTTTATGAATTTTATGAATTTTATGAATTTTATGAATTTTATGAATTTTATGAATTTTATGAATTTTATGAATTTTATGAATTTTATGAATTTTATGAATTTTATGAATTTTATTAGTTTTATTAATTTTATTAGTTTTATTAATTTTATTAGTTTTATTAATTTTATTAGTTTTATTAATTTTATTAGTTTTATTAATTTTATTAGTTTTATTAATTTTATTAGTTTTATTAATTTTATTAGTTTTATTAATTTTATTAGTTTTATTAATTTTATTAGTTTTATTAATTTTATTAGTTTTATTAATTTTATTAGTTTTATTAATTTTATTAGTTTTATTAATTTTATTAGTTTTATTAATTTTATTAGTTTTATTAATTTTATTAGTTTTATTAATTTTATTAGTTTTATTAATTTTATTAGTTTTATTAATTTTATTAGTTTTATTAATTTTATGAATTTTATGAATTTTATTAGTTTTATTAATTTTATTAGTTTTATTAATTTTATTAGTTTTATTAATTTTATTGATTTTATTAATTTTATTAATTTTATTAATCTTATTAATTTTATTAATTTTATTAAATTTATTAATTTTAAGATTTCTGAATTTGATACACTGTCTGATAATTTATAAACTTGCAAGTTTGAAAGTTAAGAATTTTTTTAAAACTTGTGAACTTAAAAATTTGCAATTGAAATTTGTTGCATAATTTTTTTTTTAAATATAATCAGTTTATCACAGTATCCTAATTTGACTGAACCAGAGTGTTATAAAATAAACTTCACGAAAGTTTTAGTAGTGTGCTGAAGGATTAAAAGAATTTTTAAGTACTCCAATTAAACTTGTTTAATAATTAACAAAGTCACCCCTGTTGATCATGAAGTCATTTGTGACGAGACAGAATCTCACTAAAATTAATAATTAAATATCACTTCTTGTTGATCATAAAATTTACCATTTTTGCTGATTATAAAATTTATAATTTTTGCTGATTATAAAAATTATTTTGTTAATAATAAAATCTGTAATTTTTGTTAATTATAAATTAAAGGCAGGCCGCTCACATATGTAATATCATACATTAATAACACAATTGATATAAATAAATTTTTCTATCTTCCATTAAAATACAAAACTCTAACCTTAAATTTATTCAACCATTTAATTTAATATTTTCAAAACATCACTCTGTAAAAATTATATTTATCGAAAAAACAAAGTTTAAACCAGAATCTGTTTCCGAATAATTAATTCAGCCAAAAGAGCACGTTTTGGCAAAATTTGAAAATTTCCACCCGTATCCATTACTTCAATAACAATTCCACAATACGGGTGTTTCACCCGGAAATAAAACCGTCCGAAAACGTTTGTTGATACGAACGGCTCGCGGGATTTATCGCGGAATCGTATTAAAATTAACTGCACTTACAAACGCGCCGGGAATTCATTAAAATTTTATTCTGAAATTGATCGCAGCCCCGTGCAGTACAAGCGCGCGAACTTCATTAAAATTCATGTCAACGTCAAACTTTCCTCCGCAATTAATAAATATTGCACTCGGTTTTGTTCAACGGCGTGCTTTTATAACTTGTGTCGCCCCTGATCGGATTTTTCTCCTCGTTTTTTCATCGACGCGTCTGGGAAAATTGTTAATTAACCGGGAGAACGTTGCCGCTCTGATATACAAACTGAACAACGACGTTTTACCGAGATTTGCAACTTTTTTCGTGACTTTAAATAGTTTCGATACGATTTTATTAATGGAACAGGTTTTGTATAGATTTTGTAATTAACAGAAATAATAAATTTTATGATTAGCTGAAGTGACAAATTTTACGAGGAAGCGATAGATTTTATGACTAAGTAATGTGTAATATTATAGTAACACTTTAATGGCCGCTCACATATGTGTGATGATTCATGAACATATGTGGTTAAGCTAGGTTAGGTTATTAGTAATGTATAATATTATAATAAGACCTTAATGGCCGCTCACATATGTGTGATGATTCATGAACATATGTGGTTAAGCTAGGTTAGGTTATTAGTAATGTATAATATTATAATAAGACCTTAATGGCCGCTCACATATGTGTGATGATTCATGAGCATGTGTGGTTAAGTTAGGTTAGGTTATTAGTAATGTATAATATTATAGTAACACTTTAATGGCCGCTCACATATGTGTGATGATTCATGAACATATGTGGTGAAGTTAGGTTACGTTTTTATTAATGTATAATATTATAATAAGACCTTAATGGTCGCTCACATGTGTGCGATGATTCATGAACATATGTGGTGAAGTTAGGTTAGGTTATTAGTAATGTATAATATTATAATAAGACCTTAATGGCCGCTCACATATGTGCGATGATTCATGAATATATGTGGTGAATTTAGGTTAGGTTATTAGTAATGTATAATATTATAATAAGACCTTAATGGTCGCTCACATATGTGTGATGATTCATGAACATATGTGGTTAAGCTAGGTTAGGTTATTAGTAATGTATAATATTATAATAAGACCATAATGGTCGCTCACATATGTGTGATGATTTATGAACATATATGGTTAAGTTAGGTTAGGTTATTAGTAATGTATAATATTATAGTAACACTTTAATGGCCGCTCACATATGTGTGATGATTCAGGAACATACGTGGTTAAGTTAGGTTAGGTTATTAGTAATGTATAATATTATAATAAGACCTTAATGGCCGCTCACATATGTGTGATGATTCATGAGCATGTGTGGTTAAGTTAGGTTAGGTTATTAGTAATGTATAACATTATAATAACACTTTAATGGCCTCTCACACATGAACATACATGTAGGTTCCTCTAATAGTTATCACGCAAAGATATTAAATTTATTGTTCTAAATTATCATTGTTTTCTTTTATTTTGTGTTTACATTTCTTGACAGTGACAGTGACAGTGTGCAACAATAAAAAATCTGTGACATAGAAAATTTTATTATAACAAAAATTGAGTAAATTTGCAATGTATAACATAAATTGAATAAAATCACAATGTACCAAAAAAATTGAGTAAAACCACAATGTACAAAAAGAGAAATTGAATAAAATCATAATGTACCAAAAAAATTTAGTAAAACCACAATGTACAAAAAAATAAATTGAATAAAATCACAATGTACCAAAAAAATTGAGTAAAACCACAATGTACAAAAAAAGAACTTAAATAAAATCACAATGTACCAAAAAAATTTAATAAAACCACAACGTACAAAAAAAGAACTTAAATAAAATCACAATGTACAACAAAAATCGAGTAAAATCTCAACGTACCAAAAAATTAAAGTAATATCACAATGTCCAAAAAGAATTGAGTAAACTCAAAACATACAAAAAATAAAATTAAGTAAAATAGCAATGTATAAAGAAAAAAAAATAGGGAAATCATTTAAAAATTTTTGTGATCGATTGTACAAGGCCTAGTAAAGTCCCCCAATCGAACGCCATAATTGCGGTATTGTTTTGCAAAACAAATGGCAACTACAATCGACTTTACGAGATTGGAGCTTGATATTGCCACGTCGGGATCGGGCCTGCATAGCTCGCTCTATTCGATTTCGTTATACGACCTGTTTTTTTCGTCGTCAAAATTATCGAAGAAATTTTCATCTGCTTCGGAAAACGATGACCTCCGCATCGATCAACGTCACAGAGATCCGAAAATTAAATCAATACCTCGGAGCCTTCGTGGGTGAGCTAACCCCTCTTTCATTTCCTCTCTATTTTGTTAATTAAAACTTTCAAATTTTATTTCATTGCTGTTTCGTTCGCTGAATTTTGATAGATAATTCTGTAGCTTCTTTTGAACCGCTTGTTTTTAAACCGTATTTAATTATTTTGTTTGCTTGATTAAATTTTTTATTTTATTTATTTGAAAATTCGTTTAGGGAAATTACTGGTGTTTATTTATATTTTATCGATTCTTTCAATTTTATTTTTTATTGAGTTTTATTTCTTCTGTTTTGTGGAATTTTATTTTTCTTCAATCCTCTTTGAATTTTTTTTAATTGACAATTTTCAATAAATTACGTTTCTTTTTTCTAATTCCAATTTTTTCTTCTAAATTATTTTACAATATTCTGACATTTTTTCAATTTGACATTTTTAACTCAAATGAATGTCTTCACTTTAATTTCGACTATTGTTTATATTCAATTTCCATCACCATGAAGTATGCGTTAATTTACATTTTGATATACCTTGTTCTTTTATTTTTCACTATTGTATTTTTGTGTTTATTATATCTTTATTTTGAAATGACTATGAATACTGTTCCAATGTAACTTGAAACATGTAATTTTTTATTACAGACTTTAAGAGTAGATTAACCCCCGATTTTTCTATTTTATTTCAAATATTAAAATAAATTTCTTCACCCTCTTAATTTAACACAAACTAAAGAATAAAATTTGTCACCCAAAATTTTCTATTTTTCAATTTTAATTGAAATTTCTATATTTCAATTTTGAACAATCCCTTAAAATTTATTAGTTTTCACTATTTTTTAAAATTCATACAAAGGTGAAATATTTTACGTAAAATTTCAAATGTCTTCTTCAAACAACCCCTTATTTCAGTTCACTTTATTACCATGAATTATTCCTTGAAATTTACCCTTATTGTTCTTTGTTCCTTGAAATTTACCAACAACCCTTAATTAAAAATCTAAAATATTCTGCACAAAAAAATACAATAAATATCTCCTTCAAACAACCCCATAATTCAATTCCCTCTTCCACCATTTTCCTCCGAAATTTCCCCTCATTCAGCATCCTAATTAAAATATTCTGCACAAAAAAATACAATAAACGTCTTCATCCCCATAAAATCATATCGTTGCAATCTTAAACTCAGCATATTTCTCGTCCAATTAAAAATCTAAAATATGAAAGTTCAGATGTCGTCTTCAAACAGGTTCCCAAAATGTGCTCATTAAAGGAACTCGTTATCAGTAACCTCTTTGTCCTCTCCTTTTTCATTTTCCTCGTAGATCAAGTTCTTCTTTCAAAAAAAAGAAACAGCCCCGGGGCAAATTAGCAGCGTGACCAGCAATTAGCGATGAACAGCAATTAGAGACAGCCGGAGATCCAAGACTGCAGTAGGAAGGAAGGCTTCGTAAATTTTCTTCGTAAAATTCCAGCTTCTCTTGGTGGTTTCGCTCTGGGAGTCTCTCTTGGCTGGAATTCCAGCGCCATCGTGGTATTCAAAAACCACCTGGATGCGAGTGCCACCGAAATTGGACTTATTGGAGGACTGTTGAACGCGGGAGCCTGCCTAGGAGCGATTCTGGTGCCGTTTCTACTGGGAAAAATTCCTCCGACCACTCTGATGTTCTCTATGATACATGTACTCGCGGTGGGATGGATTCTCATTTGCATAGCTGATCACAAAGTAATTTTTTCTATATTTTAATTGTCTATTTGCTGTATAGTTTTGATGAATTTTGATCGGTTTGATGATCTATGAGATTTTGTACAAATATTGATTTTAGAACACATAGCAACGGGTAGACCTTCAAGTTTTTAGAGATTTAAGGTTTTTTTGTTTCTTCATTTGTAGTTTCAAATTTAATAGTTTGTTCAAATCTTGTAGTTTCAAACCCCTAGTCTTTTTGAAAGCTTTACTACCGTATGGCCTTCAAGGTATTATTTACACTTTGTACAGTTAATATATAGAGTGTTCCACAATTACTGTAAGAGCAGATCGACCGCCATATTGGAAGCCGTCGCGCCCGGTCTATGCGCGCGCTCATTGGTCTGTCGCTCTCGCGTCTGCGCATGCGTAGTATCCAGCGCGTGGTAATCCAACGCGTAGTAATACAATGCATAGTAATTCTACGCGTAGTAATGCAACGTATGGTAATCCAATGCGTAGTAATCCAACGCGTAGTAATCCAACGCGTAGTAATACAACGCGTGGTAATTCTACGCGTAGGAATCTAACGCGTGGAAATCTAACGCGTAGTTAACCAACGCGAAGTAATGCAACGCGTGGTAATTCTACGCGTACTAATGCAACGTGTGGTAATCTAACGCGTAGCAATCAGAGCGCGAGGATTACGAGCGTTCAGCCACTAGGCTCGAAGCTGTCGCTCTCGCGTCTGCGCATGCGCAATCCTCGCGCTCTGATTGGTCCGCGTTTTTCCTTAATAATTCAAAAACGGAGCTTCCTACCCCATTTTTGCAAAGGGAAATCTTATTCAGAATCACGTCAGTTATCTCCCATTTCAGGGACCACTAGTTGTAAGACACCCTGTATAGAGTAATAGCTTTACGAAACTTGTCGTCCCTCTTTGAAGTTTTGTTACCTTGGTTTACCTTTTAAATTTTGTTACTTTTAATGTACGTTTAACAATTATACTATTGCATATTACTATTGTTTTATAAGGTAACCTCTTAAGTTTCCATAATTTAATTTACCTCTCACATAATTATATTTCGTAATATATATTTCACCAAAAATTCACTCGACAAACTTGTCTCCAATTTCCAGGCTATACTGTTCATTATCGGCAGAGTAATTTGTGGAATCTCCAGTGGTATTTTCTGTGTGATAGTACCAATATACATAGCTGAAATCGCTTGTAAAGAAATTCGGGGACGTTTACTCACGATTTTTCACCTTCTCATCAACTGTGGCGTCATGTACGCTTTCTCGATGGCGCACATACTCGAGGAACACGAGACAGTATGGAGGTACTGAAATTTCTTCTATTATGAGACAATAAAAACTGTAATATGATATAATATATTTAGTTGCAACTAGAATTATTTAGAATATTATTTCTCCCATTTTTGAGATATATACCTTGAAATATTTTTCTGTTATTTGAAGTTGGAAAAGAATTTATGCAAATATTTATGCAATGGAAGTATGCTAATAGTATAATATATAATTATACAAAATATTTATGCAAATAGTACTTATTTATACTCTGAATACTTATGTACTTATGCTATAAATACAAACTAATATTTCTCATTAGAATAACTTATTAAAAATAATTGTTGTGTATCTTTGAATAAAGTGATTACTTTGACTAAAAGAGATTTTCCGGAATTCAATTCCGAAAGACATAGAAAAGGGAGAAGTAGAAATCCCGGGGATAAATTTTTCTACTATCTGAAGTTGCTTCTCAAATTACCAAACTTTTCCCCTCGGGGCTAACACGTTTCCTTGGAGCAAGGTTAACGCGAACACGGAGAAGTATACGTGTAAATCAATTCTTTCTACTGAAGGTACAGCTCAATTTGCGGGATCGCGTGCCTCTCGATTGCCCCGACGAAATTGTTGCCTGAAACACCCCTCTACCATTTGTCCAGAAACGACGAGAGCAATGCAGAAAAATCCTTGAAATGGTATCGTGGCGACACTTATGATGTCCAGCACGAAATCAGCGAAATGAAGCGGCTGGTTCTTGCGGAACGCTCGAGGAAGGTATAATGAAAATAAAATTCTCGATCAAACACATGACTCTCTACTTCATTTTTAACATTTAGATAAAATTAATACATTGCCAGTGTTAATAAACATTTAGTGTACTATTAATACACTGTATAAAATTATTAAATTCTACGTAAAATTGTTCTGTCGCTAAATTCTACTGTCACTCATTTTGAGGTTATGTTACAAGCCTTCGCATGGGGTTCTTTGTGTCAGCTTACGACTGAAGCTTATGTCTTCTCTGATTGAGAAAATTGTAGGATTAAATAGTGTTCTAAGACAAGTTATAATTATCCATCACTCACTCACATAAATATCTAAAACAATATATTCCTACCCAGTGAAAATTTTAACGCGTCCCATTTTCGAATTACAGTGGAGTCTAAAGGTGATAAGAAACCGTCGAGTTTTACGGTCAATCGCAAGCTGCATCGGCGTGATCGTTGGCCAGCATGTGTGCGGAGTCAATATGATGATTTTCTACGCGTTGACGTTGTTCGAGACCACGGGTTCCGGTGAACTGACCGGAAGCGAACAGACGTTGGTCGTCGGCGTCGTTCAAATATTGGCAACCCTGTTGGTTACGTTTCTCGTCGATATACTTGGACGACGAATTCTGCTCACTCTGTCCACGATGCTTATGGGCGTGTTCCTGATACTGTTAGGTAAATCGCGTTTAAACTGATGAAGGATTGTGGTTAATCGATTGTAATTGAGGGATTTAAAATTGTAAATTGAAAGACTTTAAAATTGTAAATTGAGGAACTTTAAAATTGTAAATTGAGGGACTTCAAAATTATAAATTGATGGACTTTAAAATTTTGATGGGGCATTTTTAAAGGAGACGTTTAAGGGATTATACTTTTAGGGTGACACTATTTTGAGAATACTATTTTGGGGTGATAGGACTGTTTTTGTATTACAATCAAAGTTACGATTAATTTATTAGTTTACAGGACTATTTTAGGGTAGTATGACAATTTTAGGGTAAGTGGGGTATTTTGGGGTGATAGGACTGCTTTAGAGTAACAATCACTGTTAGGATTAATTTATTACTTCACAGGACTATTTTGGGGTAATATGACTGTTTTGGGTCACAAGACTGTTTTAGGGTGATAGGACTGCTTTAGGGTAACAATCAATGTTAGGGTTAATTTATTACTTTACAGGGCCATTTTGGGGTAATAAGACTGTTTTGGGTCACAAGACTGCTTTAGGGTGAAAGGATTATTTTGGGGTGATATTCAGTGTTAGTATTAATTTATTGCTTCACAGAACTACTTTAGGGTGACAGGACTATTTTGGGGTAATAACACCCTTTGAAGCTAACAGTCAATGTCAGAATTAATTTATTACTTTACAGAACTGTTTTAGGATGACAGAACAACTTTGAGGTAATAGGACTGCTTTACGGTAATATGACTATTTTAGGATGATAAGACTCTTTTAGGGTAATAGGACTGTTTTAGGGTGACAGTCAATGTCAGGGTTATTTTACTATTTCACATTTAGGGTGAGAAGACAACTTTGATGTAGTAGGGCTGTTTCAGGGTTACAAGACTGTTATAAGGTGACAGACAGATCTGGAATAATTCTAGAATTTGATAACCTTGTTGTAGAGTTTGAGGTTAACAAAATTAATGACAGAATTAATTTACAAAATGATGTTGAAATAATTTTAAGATCATCATTGTCATCATTTTTAGAAGAGTCCAAATATAATGTTCACCTAACCAAATATCCTCTAAAACTTGAAGCTAAATTGTAAAACAACCACATTCACCATTAACACTCCTACATCAAGTCCTATGTCCACATCACAATTTTTCTTGGCTTCTATAAATAATTTTGATAAATAGTTCGGTTGGATATATATATTATATCATTTATTTATTATTTGTAATGAAAGAGAAATGTATTGATCACATACTCCACCCTGTTGCAATACATTATGCATATGTTACCTACATATGTTGCATACATGTGTTGCATACATGTGTTGCATACATGTGTTGTATACATATGTTGCATACATGTATTGCATACATGTGTTGCATACATGTGTTGCATACATGTGTTGTATATATATGTTGCATACATGTGTTGCATACATGTGTTGCATACATGTAATGTATACATGTGTTGCATACATGTGTTGCATACATGTGTTGCATGCATATGTTGCATACATGTGTTGCATACATATGTTACATACATGTATTGTATACATATCTTAAATACATGTGTTGCATACATATGTTACATACATGTATTGTATACATATGTTAAATACATGTGTTGCATTCATAAATTACAATACATTTCACCATCTATTTTCTAAATAAAAAAATAAGTCAAAGAATCGACAAAAGAACTTAAAGAATGCAACCCCTCCCAAATTACCACGAACCCGAAATATCTAAAGCACCCAACCTCCCATCCAATAACCGAAACAAATAGCCCTTGTTTCTGCGCATCTGTCAACAAAGCACCCCGTCATTCGTAACCTTCGTCTCGAATAACCCCTCCGACCCACCCTCGAAATCCAAAAAAACCGTCCGACCATCGATCATTCGTTTCAGGTTGGTTCTTCAGCCTACGCGAGGCAGACCCCGAGTACGACGATATCTACTTCTGGATGCCTCCAGCCTGGATAATCCTCTTCTTCGCAGCCTTCAACCTAGGCCTCGGACCGATAGCCTGGACCTTTTTGGGCGACACGCTGCCGATCGAGCTGAGAACGCCGGTCACGTCGTTCGCCGTGACTCTCGGCTGGTTGATCTCGCTGATGGCCACCTTGACCTTCGAGGAGATATTCATTTCCTTAGGCGGCACGAAAATTATGTGGCTCTCAGCCGCCGGCTGCTGGTTGGTCGCTTTGTTTTGCGCCATTTTGGTCATGGATGTTACTGGGAAAAGCCTGGTGGAGGTACAACAACGTTTCGCTACGGAATCTCAAGGGGAAACGGAGAGGAACTCGGAGGAGACCTGATGATCACTGAAGTCGGATTGTCGGAATTTTGCAGAGATGACCGCTTTTTGTGATTGTGGGCTCAGCAAATTCGGGTTCGGCGTTTTTGACAATTGGGCAATGTAAAGTTTAAGTCGACTGCGATCTTGTTAAAATTTAGGGGGATGCTAGGGTGATTTAGGGCTTGATGCTACAAATTTTTGTGAATTATATGAATGATCGTAGCTCTTGTCTATTAACCTCTTGACCTACAATACTCGAGACGCAATCACGACGCATTTATGATGCACTTGTTACACAAACGTGACGCACTCACGACGCACTAAGGACGCACTATGGTGCACTCGTGACGCACTCACGACGCACTCATGTCGCAGTCATGATACACTTGTGACGCACTCATGACGCACTCGCGTAGCACCAATGACGCACTAATGACACACTCAGATGGACTCTTGACGCACTAATGACGCATTCAGGTACACTCGTGACGCACCAACGACGCACTCAGCTGTACTCCTGACGCACTAATGACGCACTCAGGTACACTGGTGACGCATTAATGACGCACTCAGCCGTATTCCTGACGCACTAATGACGCAATCGGATGGACTCGTGACGCACTCGCGACGCACTCATGGCGCACTCGTGACGCATTTGTGACACTTGTGACGCAGTTATTAGACTAGTGACGCACTTGTGATGCATTTGTGACACTCGTGACGCACTCGTGACGCATTTATGACACTAGGGACGCACTCGTGACGCACTCGTGACGCATTTGTGACACTTGTGACGCAGTTATTAGACTAGTGACGCACTCGTGATGCATTTGTGACGCTCGTGACGCACTCGTGACGCATTTATGACACTAGTGACGCACTCGTGACACTTGTGACGCACTCATGACGCACTTGTGACACTAGTGACGCACTCATGACGCACTCGTGATGTATTTGTGACACTAGTGACGCATTCAGGACGCAATCGTGACACATATGTGACACTAGTGACGCACTCATGACGCACTCGTGACGTATTTGTAACACTAGTGACGCACTCATGACGCACACGTGACGCACTACAGTTGTAATCTTACAAACCACCCACGTATTATCCTCTTAATTGATATTTGGGGGCAATTCTAATCATAATCTATATAATCAAGGATCACTGAAGGCAAAATGTGAAAATTTGAACTTTCTTTAGTTGTCAATATTGTAGCAGTAATTACTTGACAATTACTTGACAGTAATTGTCTAGAAAATTGTAGGTTGAGGGGTTGTAGACTATGAAATTTTTAGTTGCTACCGAAATTTGAATATTGAAATAAAATATATATGTGCAAGAGTTATTAACTAGTTCTAATCAGTTTCTTCTAACTTTACGTTATGTAAAGTAAATTTTGAACAAACCTTAAAGAAATAAAACGAGCACAAAGCGCCGCGAAGGTTGTTAACAATACAGTGGCGTAAATAATTGTCACTTTTTTTATTCCCCCTCTATTTCCGGTCCGATTCGTAAACCGTTGAAATTGACAGAACTACACTTCGTTGTTTTAAACGCCGCTGAATCGTAAACGTACCTTGCAAGCAAATATTTGCTTGTTTGCTCGAAATTGCAACGCGTACATTGTTGAATTTCTCCGACGAATTTGTACGACACGATTCGCTTCAACTTACACCTGCGTTTTCTGTCCTTCCGAACGAAATACAAAGATCGGAAATTGCATCCACGGGGAATTAAACGGTTATAAATAATAGTAGAGGCAATTTAATGCCGTCTCTTGTTGCTTTCGTAGAACGGAAGATAAATGTTTTTACCTTTGTCAGAAAGTTACGAGAATTATATATATTAGAGAAAATAAATAGTCTTGCTGGAAAGAATAATTCTTTTATTGAGGAATGATGTTTATTATGAAAATTTGATTTAGGTTAGGAATTTCAAGATGGATACTGCTTTGGTGGATGAGAGATTTATATTTTTGAAATGGGACTATTTTTTATCATTTATATTTAATAATTTATGTCAGTCAATTTATGTTTGATCGATGTTTCATGATCAATATTTTATTTATATTCAATAATCAATATTTGATTGATGATCAGTAATCAATTTTTTTAAGCAATGTTTAATAATCAATATTTGATCGATGATCAATTATCAATATTTTTAAGTAATGTTAAATAATCAATATTTTTAAATCAAGTTCAATAATCAATATTTTTAATTCAAGTTCAATAATCAGTATTTTTAATTCAAGTTCAATTATCAATATTTTTAATTCAAGTTCAGTAACCAATATTTTTAATTCAAGTTCAATAATCAATATTTTTAATCAATGTTCAGTAATCAATATTTTTAATCAGTGTTCAATAATCAATATTTTTAATCAGTGTTCAATAATCAATATTTTTAGTCAGTGTTCAATAATCAATATTTTTAATCAATGTTCAATAATCAATATTTTTAATCAATGTTCAATAATCAATATTTTTAATTCAAGTTCAATAATCAATATTTTCAATTCAAGTTCAATAATCAATATTTTTAATCAACGTTCAATAATCAATATTTTCAATTCAAGTTCAATAATCAATATATTTAATCAATGTTCAATAATCAATATTTTCAATTCAAGTTCCATAATCAATATTTTTAATCAATATTTACTCGATATTTTAAATAATTTTTACAGCTGATCTCTTTCATACTTCAACCACAATAAATTAATAAACATTTACCAATAATTGTTTATCATTACATTCTACACTAGTTCTATAATTATTTATCAGTAACAAAATCTGGTCGTTTAGAGGTCAAGTATTTACAAGTTGCCAAATATTCCATTAATATCGGAAAAGTCGCAGAAATATTTTTTTCCTGAATTTTTGCAAGTTATTTTTGCAGAAATTTTACAAAAATTATTTTCATAAAAATTTTACAAAAACTATTGTCAGAATTTCTACAAAATTATTTTCGAAAAAAATTTACCGAAAATTGTTATTTTAATTTTTAATAAAATACAGAAATTAATAGTTATAATTATAAACTATATATAATAATTTTATCTAATATTAAATTTTATCAAAAATATGTGAAAATATAAAATTCGATCTAAATATCGAAAACTGACGGCCATCTTGAAAATAGCGTCCCTCAATCTCGATCGATTAACGAAAATACTTATTATCGAATGCAACACGCATCCGTTGGCTATCGTCCAAAAAATCACCAACAAATTTCGCGTACGTATTTTGTTCCCCGCTTGATATATCACCAACAGATGGACTCTTCTAGCAGCCATTTGACAAAAATAACACGACGAAGGTGATCGGTCGAGTCGGAAAACGATTTCATTAAGAATCGTTTATATTTATAATCTCTTCACGCTGCGAATGATATACAAGGTGACAACATCTTCTCGTTTGAAAAGAACTTAAAAAAAGAAAAAGCGTATTAGGAAAGTCGCAAAAATTCCGCGCAAACGAAGATATACAGAAATATTGCGAGGGAACGCACGAGGAAAATAACTGTGGTATTTGTACTGAAATAAATTTGAAAGTTTGAGGAAAACGTCGTAGCTCCCGTTTCGTGAGATTCGTGTTTGTTGAGTAACGTACGCATTTGTCGGGTTTATTTTATAAAACAAACTCTGAGTTATTTTTGAAGATCTCGAAATTGATTTAAATTATTGAAATTCTAAAATTGTTTACATTATTTGAAATTATTTAAATAATCTGGAAAGTACGTGTTTTGTAAAACGAACTGAAAAAATCAAACAATAATGAGAATTTTGAAATGGGTTTAAATAATAAGAATTTTAAAATTGATTTAAACAATGAGAATTTTAAAATTGTTTAAAATTATTTGTTCATGGTGGACATATTTCATAAAATGAACAGAAAAAAATTAAATAACAATAGGAATCTTAAAATTCATTTAAATAATAACAATTTCAAAATTGTTTAAAATTATTTGTTCGTATAAGACAAGTTTTAAAAAATGAACAGAAAAAATTAAATAACAATAGGAATCTTAAAATTCATTTAAATAATAACAATTTCAAAATTGTTTAAAATTATTTGTTCATGTAGGACAAGTTTCATAAAATGAACAAAAAAAAATTAAATAACAATAAGAATCTTAACATTCATTTATGTAATAACAATTTCAAAATTGTTTTAAATTATTTGTTCATGTAGGACAAGTTTCATAAATTGAACAGAAAAAATTAAATAACAATAGGAATCTTAAAATTCATTTAAATAATAACAATTTCAAAATTGTTTAAAATTATTTGTTCATACAGGACATGTTTCATAAAATGAACAAAAAAAAATTAAATAACAATAGGAATCTTAAAATTCATTTATGTAATAACAATTTCAAAATTGTTTAAAATTATTTGTTCATGTAAAACATATTTTATTAAATATTTTAGAAAATATCATTTTGCACATAAAAATTTAGAAAGTCATTTACTAAGATTGCAAATTATACTACTTTTGCTACTATTAATATTACTGAATTATTAAAAAAGTATTAAATTATTAAAATTAATAAAAAAGTAAAATTTAGTTTAAGTATTAAATTAATAAAAAAATGAACTGCATATAAATATTGAATATTAAACTAGTAAACTATTAAACTAATAAAATATTAAACTAGGAAAATATTGAACTACTAAAATATTAAAATATTAAAATATCAAATAGTCAAATACCAAAATACTCAAACACTAAAATTTATCGGTTTAAATAAAATTTTGTGATCATTGCAACTTGTGATTATTGTAACGCTACTATTACACAAAATGGCGGACTGGGTTCCTGTCCGACTAAGATGGATTCCCGCTCACTGCCAACAGCAACAAAGTTTTCCTAATGCAACAGTGTATGCTCATTCTAATGTAACAGTGCATTCATTCTAATTTAACAAAGCATTCGTTCTAATTTAACAATGCACTCATCTTAATATAACAATGCACTTATCTTAATTTAACAAGACATACTTTTCCCGCTTAAATTAACACCGCTTTTTATAACAACATGTGACTCGATTTTTAATTAAATGACACACGCAATCGAACTAAAATTACATATCGACGTACGTAAAATCGGTGTTCTATGAAGTTCGAGTAGCTAAATCGATCAGATACATAAATTTCGCGGGATAATTTTAGACGACCCTGTTCTTTATTTAAACGCAAGTTCAATTTTCGTAGTCTTGTTTATTTACTTGTTTATCTGTTACAAGGCAGATTAGAAACGTGTCTGAAATGTTCGCCAAGTGTGTTTTACATTGTTGAATGGGCCGTGACATTGTTTAAAAATCGGGAAGCGTTGTCTTTTAATAATCGTTCAAATAATTTATAATTGCAAGAGAATCATATGAGTTTTGTAGAACATATGGGAAATAAAATTTTCTTTTGAAAAATATTTAGACAAATTATTAGTGTGATAAAAATAATTTGCACTGTGACAAAAATTATTTAATTTAATAATTAATAATAGTTATGTTTAATAAATTATATTTAGTTATGTATTATATTGAATTATATTAATTATATGATTTATTCTAGTGATTTCCAGTGATCATCTAGTAATAAATTTTCCAAAATTAATTAACCTAAAAATTTAACTAAATGTCGCTTAATAAATTTAATTGTCCACTTACCATTAGTTAGTTGTTGTGTACCACTCTTCTATTTCTTCGAAGCATTTTACACCTTTGACCCTGCAACAAATTGAAAAATACACATTTTTTATTGTACAATAAATCATTATATTAATTCGTAGAATATCAATCATTTATCAGTAAATTAGATAGCTAATAATAATCAACTTG